GCTAACCAGACGGCTGGCGGTTCAAACCCACCAGCCACTCCTCGGAAGGAAGGTTGGGCAATCCTACTTCCGTAGTGATACTGCCTCGGAAACCCAAGGGGGGGTCGCTATGAGTCGGGGCCAACTCGACGGCACATAACAACAACAACATCAGAGCGCCTTTGGGAGCCCTGGAAGGGTGTTCTTCGCAGAGCTCACCTACTACCACACGCGCCCACAGTGAAATGGCCACTCCAGCAAGGCTGGGAGGTTGGTGGAAGAAACAGGGTAGGGCCCTTGCCTGTGATGGTCTCCCAGGCTACCTGCCACCGAGGACTAAGGCCTCCAGTGCTGACCGGGTGTCCTCAGACTTCCTTTCCCTGGCTTCTGACTTCGGGGCTGCAATCCGTACAGGAGCCAGTGGGGACCCTGTGCTTGAGCCACCTCCCAAAGCCACTGGTCTCATGGGCACCTCAGCCTGTCCCTCCTCTATCCACTGCCCTTGGTGGGTGGTCCAGTGCCAGCTGCCCCCCCCCCCCCGCTATCATTGCCTGGGGGGAAAGGAGCGGAGCTGAGAAGAGCAAGGAGGTCCTTGGACCTTGGAGCCAAGGCTGAGCCCGGAGGCAGCATCTGCAATGGGTTTGGTCACCAGTAGCCACCTCACCCTTACCTGGTGGCCATGAGTCCAGGCTTGTGGCACGGAGAGCTGGCGCTGTGCACACCCCGGTCATCCAAGAGAGGGGCAAAGTGAGCAGGCAAGTGCAGCCTGTGGGAAGGGCAGATTTGCTTCAGGCCACTGTGTCAGCCTGTCTACCCCTTCCCAAGAGGGGGCTCAACAATGTCAGGGTGCTCAACGAGCAAGGTAAGCACAGGCTTACTTGTGTTTACTTAATAATCTACACAGTAAACAATTTAACTTTTTTTTTTTTTTTTTTCCCAAAGATTCTGCTTCTAAGTCTGGCTGGCATCTGTCTCTCTTCCAACCCCATAGCACCTTCCCATAGAATTGAAGTCTCCTTTCAAAGTTGCAATCCCGGATAGGGATGGAGTACCCAGAAAGCAAGGTAAGCATGGGATGACTTGTGCTTACTGAGTAATCCACTCCTGAGGTCAGGCCATAATGCTCACCGAGTGTGTGGCCATGGCCACTTGGGCAATATGCCACAGTGGTTAAGCACAGACTCCCTGGAGTATGGTTGCCCAGTTCAAATCATGGCTTCCCCACCTCCTGCTGTAGTTGTTGTTAGGTGCCGTCGAGTCATCTCCGACTCATGGCGACCCTATGCATAGCAGAGCTAAACACCACCCAATCCTGCGCCAGCTCCACGATCCTTGCTATACATGAGCTGATCGCCACAGTCACTGTGTCAATCCATCTCCTTGAGGGCCTTCCCCTCTTTCGTTGACCTTCCATCTTACCAAGCATGACATCGTTCTCCAGGGAATGGTCCCTTCTGACAACATGGCCAAAGTAGCTTCTGGCCATTCTCGCTTCCAAGGTGCATTCCGGCTGCACTTCCTCTAGGACAGATTCATTAGTTTTTTAGCAGTCCATGGTACTTTCAGCATTCTTCGCCAGCACCACAAACCAAAAGCATCAATTCTTCTTTGGTTCTTCCTTATTCATTGTCCAGCTCTCACATGCATATGATGCGATGGAAAATATCATGGCTTGTGTCAGGTGCACCTTAGTCCTCAAGAAGACATCCTTGCTCCTGAGCACTTGAAAGAGGTCCCTTGCAGCCAACTTGCCCAGTGCTATAAATCGTCTAATGTCCTGACTGCTGCTTCCATTGGCATTGATTGTAGAACCAAGCAATGTGAATTCTTTGACAACTTCCATCTTTTCTCCATTTATGCTGCTTATAGGTCCAGTTGTGAGGATTCTTGTTTTCTTTACATTGAGGTGTAATCCATTCTGCTGACTGTATTCTTCAGTCTTCATCAGTGACTGCTTCAAGTCATCCTCACTTTCAGCAAGCAAAGTTGTGTTGTCAGTGTATCTCAGGTTGTTAACAATTCTTCCTCCAATCCTGATGTC